TCAGTGAATATTTGTCAATTTTTGGGTGAAAAGGCTTGTATCAAAACAATAATATAAGGTTGGGCTGATCTGATACAATGTAAAGAACATTGGAAACATCCGATATACAAATAACAATTTAATAACCTAATTCTTTATTTTGGAATGTGGTTTATTTGGGCTGATATAAATTCAAATAAACACGAGGAGGTTGAAATTAAGATGGAAAGGTGGTCTCTAATATCACTTGTTATCTTCATAAAATTTTTTATTAGTACATGCAAACCCTATTTTCTAGATGGATGGGATGAAAATTTGGGTTCTAAGTTTGAAAAACAATTGTTCAGGGGTGGGGGGGTGAGGGTTGGAGTTACACTTGTACTTTGGAAGCAACCTTTATTTCCATGGATCAAAGTAAATACAGATGATAGTTGGAGGAAGGTAGTTGCTGGCACTGGCGGAGTATATCGATCATATACCGGTAAGTGCTTATGTTTTTTTCCTTTCAGTCTAGCTTTTTGTTCTTTAGATGTAGAATTACATGCAGTTTAGATGTTTATTCATGTGCATTAAAGCAAAAGTGGAGGTTTCTACATGTCGAAATGGATTCAACTATTTTGTTAGATATTTTGCATAATGGTAATGATCCACAATGGTACGTACATGGGAATTTGAGCAAAATTAAGCAATTAGCTAAATTAATAGTTATAAACTTGAGTTACATCCTGAGGGAGGGCAATAAACCAGCTAATGACTTAGCTAAAGAGGTTGTCATAGCTGATTCAATATGTTTGAAGACCAACCCGGACAAATACTTGAAAATGCTACTGAATGGGGATAAATTAAACAAACCACGGGTGAGATACTTGTTTACCTAGAGCTCAACGTCACTGTGCTTGTTACATGGGTATATTGCTTTTTGGAATAGATTTCCTTGTACTTTTTGGAGTAACTTTTTTATTAATGTATTTTGGTGTTTGTTGTGTGTAGTATTTGGATGGTGGAACCCTAGGGGTAAGTGATGTATTTTTTGTATTTTAGTTAGGGGGTTCCACTGTCCCCAATTTGTACCCACATTTTTAGAGCAAAAAAATTACATAATATATCTTTATGGATGCCATATATATATCATTTTCTTTAGTGATATAAAATAAATAAAAAAATGAATATATATATATATATATATATATATTCCTTTATTTATTTATTTTGCATCAATAAAGAAAATGATATATATATGGCATCCATAAAGAAAATGATTAACTAATGAGTTCTTGAAAGGTGTTGAACCATTCGTGCAACCACTATCACAGTTTTTTGACTTATCTTTCATAGGGTAAATTTTTATGCACATGTGAGATGAACATGAATCTTGCATACTTAACACCGGATAAAGTAAGGCTAGACTTATACCGTAGTGAATTTTAATCATATTATTAATCATGCAATTCACATCGTGAGTTTAACCCGCAAATTGATTATTGTCAGATAAGTGTTTCAATGAGATAAACTCAACCAAGTGAGTATGATCCCAATATAATTCAAGAAATTATGTTTTGATGCAATAAGTGCACAGTTTATCAAACAAGTGGATGAGGAGAAGCCACTAAACTAAGAAGCTAAGATGTTCTATAAAGTATTTAATGTTGCATAATGGTCATTGTGAAAAGGAAAAGGTTGTACAGACCATTCTAAGTTACTCATATCTTTGAAAATATTTATTATTAAAGTAAACTATAATATGCATAAAGAATATTTTAACTAGATAATAATATTATTGAAGGAGATAAATCTCAGAGAAAATTTTGCACCAAATAACTTGTATAGATTGAAAAATTAGTGTTAAAGTTAAAGTTGACATCAAAGAAGATATATTATTATTTAATTGTTGTGTGTTATATTACAAGACTGATGCAATTGAGACACATAATAGGTTTTGTGGTGCTAAGAGATTCAGATCACATAGCAAACGAAAAAAAAAGGAAATAGAAGGATGTTCCATACAAGCTTTTCTTCTTCTTGTCAATCAGTACACATCTTCAAAGATTATTTGTTTTCATGTGCATTGCTAAGTAGATGATTTGATATAATGAAAGATTGGGTGAATTTAGTTCTTCGAGTCATTCGGTAAATGAAAATGCATGAAATCATTTCAGCATACTTATCCTCCTTTATAGTTGAGTCACACAATGGCTTGGATTGTGTGTCAATATTTATGTCATATAGTCAGGCTGCCTATCATACTCATGCTAATCAGTGATAGTCACCTGAGATATGCAGAACTGCCCATTTTAGTTTACTTGAAAAGAATAATTAATATATATTTGTAGAGTTTCAGATTTTATGGAAAATAAGTCTAACAACTAACGAAATTGCTACAAAATAAAACTTTTAAATGAAAGATATCTAAAGGTGGATGATAAGCTATTTTCCAATGTGTGGAATGCTATCGAGATGGAACATTGTTGGAAATTTAACATACCCATGCTGCATAAATCTATTGAAGGCATGTATGAGACTAAAATGGCTATTGAACTACAATACTAGTGGCTATTCTTTCTTTCTTTTCTTATATTTTATCTAAAAAGTTTACAGGTTAATGCTATAATATAATATATTTTGTATCTTCCTAACTCTCATCACAAGTAATTTCTTATTTTTGGATGAAAGACGGTTGTGGCCCTCAATTTTCTCACCAAAAAAAAAAAAAATTGCACTAGTGGATATTAATAATGGCTGGTCTTTCCAAAGCAAGACCGCCCAGGTGCAAGTCTATTTCATCATATTTCACATTACACTTAAATTGATGGTCACAAATAAATTGTCTGGCCTCATGTTCTATTCATCCGGGCGGATTATTCTAAAATTTATAGGAATACTAAAGACTTAAATTGACGGTCACAAATAAATTGTCTGGCCTTATGTTCTATTCATCCGGGCGGATTATTCTAAAATTTATAGGAATACTAAAGATGTTTACGATAAATTCCCACTCATAGCCTTTTTTCAATTGATTTATTTCTGCTAAATTAGACATAATTTCAGGGAATCACTCTTATGAAACTTTAAAGAAAGTGCAAAAAATATTTAGAAAATTTAACACTTCTTCTAAATTCTTCTAAAACCCTTGTAGTTGGAGGAAATATTAAGTGCGTCTCTCAGATATCTGAATGACAGCGTGGATCACACAATGCCACAGTGCACAATGGTATGGTGGATTCACACCATTGTCAGGACCTAATATTTTCTGCTCTTGTAAATTTTATCTAGACGACGGCGTGGATCACACAACGCCAGTGGATTCACACCATTGTCTGGACCTAATATTTTCTGCTCTTGTAAATTTTATCTAGTTTGTTTTCTCTTTGAATTAAATAAGGAAATGATTTGGCATAAAAACTTAATCATATAATTTTTCAATTATGACGATCTAAAATGTATATCATCTTTCTTTCTACTTGTATGTTTGTACAGTTGGGCTATGATCGTACCAACTCAGGAATTCTTCCCGGGGCGTATGAGATGGTGATTCGATGATTATGGTGATTCGGTGATTGAACTTTTTCTTCTGCACCGAAAGTCCTATGCTTGAACTGGCCAACCAAAAAGGAAAGGAACTGTTTCCAGTACGTACAGGTTTTGCACATATAACACTGATTAGAACATGGATCAGGCTCGATAATTACTCCCAAATATCAAAATTTTCTTGCTGATCAATCAAATTTAACCATAAATTAAAATTTAATTTGTTTATCATAAATAGCTTAGTTAAAGATAATCTGACACCACTAGAATCTAACTTTGTTATAGATGCATATTTATATTTCTGTATTTAAGCAGTTCTTTTATAATTGAACTATTTTTTAAGCCAGTGACAGAAGTACAAAAAATATCACCAGATAGCAATATATATATACAAAGAGAGAGAGAGAGAGATGCACACATACATTTTTCTTTATTGTGTTTACCATAAAATATAGCAGGTATGTATAAGTTTATTTCCATTTCTTGATGTTATGCCTGTTTTACTCCTGGTGATTGGATAACATTAACAACTCTAAATAGTGCTGATTCGGCACTTGAGTTTTGATCAATACAACCATACATTCATGCATGCATCTATGCATGCATTCTCGCTTTGGCATTTATTAAAAAAAATGTTGCAAATGCTAATGGAAAATAAGGGTTGAAGACCGCAATTAAGAGACACAAGTTAATTAGTTCATATTGGTATTCAAACTGAGTGGCGATCAATAAATGGCCATTGGGTGCTATCATTCAATTATAGTCAAGAGATTTTAGTATACACAGACGCCCGACCGATTATTGTTGGATGATGGTAGTCAGATAGGTATTTTCAAGTGAGATTAGTTCAATGATTATAGTTTGACGATAACAGACTAATGACAATAATATGATAATTTTAGTCGGATCATAATGACTAAATAACTATGATTGAATGATAATAACCTAGTGTAGATGATAGAGTAATACTAAAAAGTTTCAAATTTTGAGGTCTTCTTTTCAAATTTCTTTTTCTTCTAAAGAGTAAGAATATGTTTATAATTTTTAAAAATATCATTTTGGCAAGTTTGATCAAAATTTTCATACATGACCTGGATTGATTCTCATAATTATAAATCGGTCGCTTAAGGTCATCAAAGTTAATAAATTATAAACAAATAAGATTCAAAAATCTTTTGGTCCATTAAATAGTATCATAAAACTTTCAACTATACTTTATGCACTAACTTAGACTAATTTGAATATGGATCAACACAATGTCGGTCTATTTGAGCTCGTTAAGCCAAAACATTCATTTTAATAATAACTTTATTTAATTCCGAGTTATGAAGGTCCCAAATATAGCCATAATTAAAATTTTGTATCATATCTTGACTTGATCAAGATGCTTTTTCTTACCTGTTAACATGAACCAAGCACATCAACATAGCTCAGAAAGAGCAGCTCCATTTTGGCCCATTATTCTTACCGATATACATCACAAAAAAAGAAGCGTGCACAGCTAGCCAGCATCATGATCTTTTAACCCCAACAAACGGTAAATTCCAAAAAGCTTATTAATATAAACAACTGTACACATCACACCAGTTTCTCCTTCCACTTTCCATTCTGATCCCCTCCCCACTCCCCCTTCGCCACTACGACACCATCCCTCTTCCACCCCCCTCCAATTCTCATTCTCCTTTCTCCATATTCTGAGTGCCCTGCCTTGTAACCTTCACATTCCTTTTTTATTCCCCTATCCCTCCTTTCCCATTCCCAAACTATGCCTGCCCCCACTTTCCCTGCGCGCGTGGGCTTTTCAACTCTCTCTCTCCCTCCACATACTCCAAGAGATCTCCCACAAAAAGCAATCAAAGCCCCCTCTTGTTATGCCCACAATCATGAGCCTTGGTTGCCTCATGCGCATGCCATATTCCCCATTGCCCTGCTTCTTCTTCTTCAATCTCCCTTATGCTCACTATAAATCCCCCACCCAACCCCACTCTCTTCTTCCCACTTCCCCAACCGACTCCCTCTCACAACTTCATCTTTCATCCCTTTCCACCATCATTGCTTGTCCATGGCCCTCTCCGGGTTCGAAGGCTTCGAGAAGCGGCTTGAGCTCCACTTCTTCGGCCACGATCCCATCGGTCTACGAAACCTCAGCTTCAAAACACTTGATCAAATCCTCGCCGCTGTACAGTGTGGAGTTGTCTCAGCCGTCGGCAATGCCCACTTCGACGCCTACGTGCTCTCCGAGTCAAGTCTCTTCATTTATCCTCACAAACTCGTCATCAAGACATGCGGAACCACCGGACTCCTCCACTCTGTCCCGCTCCTCCTCCTCCACTCCGCATCGCACGGCCTCAAACTCCTGCGCTGCAAATACACTCGCGGCAGTTTTATCTTCCCCAGCGCGCAGCCCGCCCCGCACACAAGCTTCAAGGAAGAGATTTTATTCCTGGAGAAAAACATTCCTGCCTCCCTCCGCTACCGAAAGGCTCGATTTCTCCCCTCCCATTCCTCTCGCCACAAGTGGCACGTCTACTGCGCTAGTTCCAAAGCTGACGACTTTTATGGAGGACTGATAACAATAGAAGTCTGCATGACCGAGCTCGACCGGACCGTTGCCGACCGATTCTTCCGCTTGCCGGGGGAGGTAAAGATGTCAGGACATGAAGCAGGGAGAGAGATGACACAACGGGCCAGCATACCAGACGCCGCTGGTCCGCGGGCCTTCATCTGCGACTTCGCCTTCGATCCTTGCGGATACTCCATGAACGGGCTCCACGCCGAGCGCTACTCCACCATTCATGTCACGCCGGAGGAGGGGTACAGCTACGCGAGCTACGAGTGTGTGGTTGCGGAGGAGTCGGAGATACAGAGCGTGCTCAACAAAGTGAATACCGTGTTCCGGCCGGGAGTAATGTCGGTCTCGGTAACCGGCGGAGCTGACGAGCGGATTGATATAGCAGGACTTAGTTGCCGGAGCCGAGCAGAGGAAGCCTTCTCCGGCGCAGGCATCGTGACATACCTAACATTTGTGTCAGGAATGGATGAGGAGTGAAGTGCAGCCTGATGTTGTCTTCTCAGAGATGATACTGGGATGTAATTGAGAGAGAGAGAGAGAGAGAGGAGCTAGTGAGGAAGATGGAAGAGGTTGAGAGTGGGAACGCCATGATGTAGAGCTCCACTAACAAGTGTCACGCCTAGTACTTGAGGAGGCACATAGTGGGGTTAAGGGTGAGTGAGGGTTTGGTGCAGGGAATTGGATGTTTTTAGGTTTTTCTTTTTATTTAAATCTTTTTTCAAATGGTTTGTTGTTCTTGCCTTTCTTTCTCCCAAAGAGAGAGAAAAAAAAAAAAAAAAAAAGATTACACTTTCTCTTGTAATCCATTTGTTTATTATGTTAAGTGCCATTCCCATTACTTCTACATTTATGTTTTTCTTTTTCATATTATCTATTCTTGTTGGGAGCCTGCCCAATTCTCCTTCATGTATATCCATATAAGTAATATTTTTTTTTTTCTGAGCAGAAATTCTTTATAATGATACAAACTAATATGTTCTTCAAAATTATTTTCTTATTATTTAGCATAAAAAATATGGTGTTGATCATATCAACTATTTCAAAATAAATCGCATCTGAGCTAAATAAATATATGCTGATTTTATTGATGTGAGAATTTACTGCTTTCAATAATAAAAATATGGTGTATGAGTCATAAAATCAATACGTTCCAGAATATTTGCACATGCAAACATGTTTTTAGGTAAAAGTAGCGCATAAGATGAGTAGGTGGTGGACTAAAAACATATCTTTAATAAAAAATAAAAAAAGATGCACAATTTCAATTCAAATTGTTAATTTTATTTTTTGAGCCATATAATAGATGTTATGTTTTATCGGCTCCCATTTCTTTTTCAACTAAGCTCCCAAGTCAAATAATAAAATGGGCTGAAAAAGTAATTATTTTGTGAATGTGTTTACCGTTAGGACTTGCAAGCTGAGATCTTTCTTTTAACTTTATAGAGTATTTTATAGGCGTTGTTAGGGTTTGTGGTGGAGATTTTTTTTTTTGGGTAATTATTAAAGTGCTCTTTTGTTTTGATGGGAAATTTAGTTGGAATTAAGATAATATTGCAGGAGAGGATAATCTGCGCAACAAATTTATAGACTAGAAACACAAGTAGAACGTGATTATCTATTCTATGATAAGCATGTCCATTGAATTGCTTCAATCTATCAATTTGAAGGAATAGTGCAAATTTACTTCCTATTCTGATATTCAAATCAATATAAGTATAGTCACACAAAAAAAATGGCAAATGTGGTGGACTCTGCTGAATTTTAATCCTGTATATAAATCATGCCTAAATTTTAAAATATGGTGTAATTTTGAAAGTTATATATATATGCGCCGTGTACTCAGATCTGTTGGTCGGATATCTGCTTCTCAGTTATAAGTTCTCAATGGTCTGGGTTCGATTCTCCCTGAGTGTAGGGTGTGATACTCGAATTATTAGTAGCATGAGAGATGACTGTGACTCGTATAATAATCTCTGATCATTCTTTTAAGAACAATAATATATATATATATATATA